TGGGGGGCCTAAACCCTAAACCCTAAACCCTAGGGGGCTCTAGTACCTATATAGTACGTACCTGGGGGGCCTAAACCCTAAACCCTAAACCCTAAACCCTAGGGGCTCTAGTACCCCATATAGCTACTATATAGTACCTACTATATTATAGTAGGTACCTGGGGGGTTAGGGCCTCATCTTCGCAGCAGCGCGCCATGACTCTGCGCGGCCCAGGCAAGGCGGCTCCGGCTCCCGGCCCCGACAAAATCTACCTATAGTCTCCATTGTAGTTCCTTTTTTTGGTTTAACCAAAAATATATATATATATATATATGTGGGAGCCAAATATATATATATATATAAACGATTTTATAAGGTATCCCCGAAAAAGAACTACAATGGAGACTATAGGTAGAATTCACAGCATGCCAAGTACAAAGAGCCTCCTTGTCCTTGGTGTAATGTTGGATAATTAGTAAGAGAAAACCCAAAACCTTATTCTAATTATTGAGGCCCCTACATTAAACCCTAAACCCTAAGCCCTAAACCCTTTCTAAGCGCGAGCGCCCTCGGCCGAGGTTCGAATCCTTTCGGCCATGGGCGGCACAAAGTTGGGCTCCCAGCAAGTCAGTGTCCAGGGTTAGGGTTTAGGGTTTAGGGTTCAGGTTTAGGGTACGTCTGTCATGTTTTCTTTTCATATAAGCTTCCGGACGTCGGTAAAAACGAGTACACTGTCGGGCTGAGCCAAGCCTTAAACCCTGCAGATGCACTGCCGGATCCAGGCTTTTGATTGACCGTCTTCGTGCTTCAGATCATAGTCCTTTACGAGCTTTCCCTAACCTCCCAGGTACCTGCAAGATAGGGCCCTAGGGGCTCTAGTACCCTATGTAGTAGGTACCTGGGGGGTTAGGGTTTCATCGCGAAGCACACCAGTCAAGACATCCGTGATCCTCTTCATGATGCCCTACAGGGTCTACTTCCAACCTCAGTATCAAATGCCACGGATTCCACGGGAGTGGCGTCAGGAGGCACATCATGGCTCGGAGGCAACCAAAATCCTAAACCCCTAAACCCTCAACCCTAGGAGGATTGTACTTCCGGTCCGATCTATCGGCACTGGAAACTGGCCAGCAGGCTGATCGTTATCGGCTTTGCATCGAGTACTAATTACGTGGTCGTCATTGCGACCACCGTCTACATCATCCTTGCTATGACTGAACATAGCAGAGGCCTTGATGACCAAGTTCATGTGCATTCGCACGGCGACGGGTCCCATTTGGTTCAAGGCGCTTGTTTCACACTTACTTGTTCAAGATCTCCGCAGGGCCGCACGGCACCACACCCTTCACCACAGTAGGTGACAGATTTCCGGTAGAGTTTTGCAACGTTACATATTGCAGCCAGAACCAGATAGAATCAGATCGAAGTTCACAAGAAGAGAAGCTTGAGTATCCGCAGGGATGCAGCCAGGGAACTCGGCTTCCTTTGTTGTCTCACACTTGGCAGTTGACTTCTGAAAGGCGGTATTTGTTCACCCGGGTGGCAGGCACAGTCGCCCAACTTTTGCCAAATACAAACCCCAGCCATACCCTAACTCCCCAGGTACCTACTATATAGGGCCCCAGGGGCTCAAGTACCCTAAGCCTATATAGTAGGTACCTGGGGGGTTAGGGATAGTTCAACCCGTTTGAACCAAAGCACCGCAGATGCCATGAAGCGGCCGCTTACGGCTTTCTCGCAGCAGGGGAACAAGGCAGGCCGCTGTCGTCTGTGCGGGTGAGTGTAGGGTCCGCAAAGACATATATCGAAGAAGCGTGTTTTGAGCAAGATGAACTGCTCCCAGCGAAATATGATGTCAGAGGTGCCTAGGAAGCCTTGCTGCTCCGACACCGCTTGTCAGAGGTGAGCATCTGAAGCTTATTTGAACAGCAGCAAACAATAATGCCCGGAGTCCCGAATGACGGATTTCCGGTGTATATATGCGTATATGTAGACATACATATGTGTGACAAATATACTTATTTATTTATTTGCTTACTGATTTGTATTTTTTTGTGTATTCCTTTTTTATCTACACGGAGGTATTTATGTATAGGTACATGCACATGTATATGTATATGTATATGTATATGTATATGTATATGTATATGATGTAT